CCATCTAAGAATCCAAAAGTGCTTTGCAAACATTGACTTAATCCTTGCAACACCCCTATGTGGAAAAATGTCTCAGTTTTACAGACGGGGAACCTGAAGCTTAAAAGAGTTGTTTGACTTCACTCATGAGTCTGCAGGGTGCCAGTGGAACAGCCTAAATCTCTCAATCCCAGTTCAGCTGCAGGTTTTAGAACAGTCTGGCCCCTGCAAGCTCTGACAGTAATTATTATGCAGCTTTCCAAAGGGATATGTGAGTGGCAAGAGGATTGTTGCTACTGGCATTGTCCTTGCAGCCCTTCCATGCCAGGAAATGCACACAGAACATCGTCACCATCCTGTTTAACCAGGCTGAGGAGCACCCAGGTCTGAGCACTCGAGCCTTGTCCCAGAGTGACCACTGCAAGAGCTGTGTAACCGTGTCCTCCCCAGTTCTGCACTTGCCTCTGTGTGTTCGTGACGTGCTGTAGCTCTGTGTGCCAAGATGCTTAAGGCTCTTTCCCACAACTGCTGGTTTGCCCTTCAGGGGAAACTGTGGGAAAGGCTCTGGAAGATTGTTGGCACTTAAGTGATCTTTGACCATATCTTAGTGAGGGATTGAGGAGGTTTGAAATAGCCACGGTTGGAAAGGGAAGAAGGGCGGGGAAGAAAGAAAAAGTGGTCCGACCTTTCTCTCCCAGCTGTGTAAGCTTGCACTGATGGTTTGCATTTGCTAACTCACAGTGCTGGGTTTTATATGGAGGAAGCAAAGACCAGTGAGAGAAACTGACTTTGGTGATGCAGTGGGCACCCACTCCTACAAAGAGCCCCTACCACGGCCAGCTTCCAACAGCATATCCCTAGTGATTTTGGTACCTGAGAGAGTAGCTTGGAAATGCAGCAAAATTATGCTCCATGAGATCAAGTGCTCTGATCATAAAGTGAAATGCAAGTGCAAGAATAAATAAACCTTTCTTAATCCGATCAACCTGGTTATTCTTGAATCCCATAAAATAACTGCCAGTGGTTGCTTGAGAAGGGGTTGCTATAAACATGACTTAGAAGGAGGGGACATCCAAACTTTGTGCAATCCAGTGATTACATTGGCAATTTTCCAGGATCCCCACGGGCTGCTGTTAGCTGGCATAAAATGAAGCAGGTTGCAGCCACCCTCATCTTTAATACAATGAGAGGGCCCCCAGGAGGCTACAGGTTCCAGTGTGTGGCCTCTCACATTGAGAAGGGGCACAGCACGCTGGGATGTGGATTATCCTCAGGCCCTTTCCTTGTTAACAGAGGTCTGGGGAAGCTGCAGGCCACACTGGACACCTTTGCAATGGTTTGACCACTCTCTCTTTCTCAAAAATAGAAAAAAAAATCAAATATGGCTTTGGTTAAGTTTATGTTAATCAGCATTCATGAGATTTAACAAAAAAACAACAAACATAATTTCCTCCCGCTCTCCTCCACCCAGAAGCAGACTACTGGTAGAAACCAAAGCTGGAAAAAATAGTTGAAAGTCAGCTAAAGTCACCTTGGTAACTGCAGCAATACACTTGCCCAGAACAGGAGACATCAAAACCGACTACAAACAGCTTTAAAGAAACAAAAAGAATGTAATCATCTAAAGAATTAATCTGACAACTGCCCACGTTTACACCTCCCACAAGCCCCCAATCAGAGGGAAATGTGCTTTAATCTTCTCCAACTCCCCTCCAGTTTCACAAAACATGAGATGTGTAGTCCTTAAACTGGGGCATTTCCGGCATGCTGCTTCCATTTAAATCTGCTGCCTTTCCTAATGCAGCAACCCTGGCTTTTGCAGACTTGTTTTTTCTGGACACTGAGAAACATAAATTTTTTTGTGTGGGTTGGATGAAGTATTAAATCTGGAATAGACAAAGTTCGCAACATTTTACGTGATAGTCAGCTAGATCTTAGTCATAACAAGTAAAACTCCACTGACTTTTGCTGCTGATTTATTTGGTGATGGGGTGGAGGAAGCAATGACTTACGGGTAACTGACAGTCGTAAAACCAGGCATGTTAGTGTTAAAAAGCAAACATTTTCTATGGTTTTTTTCTAAGTCTGAAAACTACAAGCTGTAGATGGCAATGTGTGTTACAACATGAGCTTTTTGTTAATAACAACCTAGAGGTCCTGCCAACCCTTCATCTGGGCAATTATCCTTTGGAAGGGCCAGCACAAGGATTTCCAGTTCCAAAGAGAGAATTTTAATTGGTCTTGCTGAGTCCCCATGTCATGCAATATGTTTCCATGTTTGAAAGTGATGGCACTGTGGCCTCTTGGTGTGTTAAGTGCAGTCCACAACACATAACTCTTGTTTAGAAAGGTATAGCTTAGATAAAAGGTTATTTGGTTTCTACTATTGAAGTTTCACCCTTAACTTTAAATATCTGAAATTGTGTGAGCTCCACTGAAGTGAAATAAGGAACAAAGACTATTTTGGAAAAATTTTGTGAAAAGGATTAATACTTTCATGTCATTCAAAGTATTAACTTTGTATTAACAAAGTATTGCCATTTTGTCTTACCTTTTTGACAGAAGGGCTGGTTACATATTAATGTGAAGTCATAATTATTGACAGCCCTAAAGTCATGACAGTTCCGTTTGATAGTTATACATTAGTCAACATCTTCTCTTGAGCATGTAATGACAAACAGCATTTGCTGTTTTTAATAAGACTTAGAAAGCTTTGCCCCTTGCCTCCAGAATATTGTCGTCATTCCTATTATTGCATTAACAACTGGAGGCTGTTTCCCCTCCGGACTGCAGCCCCATTGTAGCAGCTGTACTGGCTAGCATGGTGGAAACCTAAAAACCCACCTTCAGCTCGTGGGGGGAGGTTGCAGCCCAGGAGTATGGGGAGCTGTCCTGCAGCTGTCTGTCCTGCAGAAGCATGAACCCACAGCTGTGTTATGGGACGCACCCGGAATGCTTAGGCAGTCCAGGTGAGCAGGGCACAGTCTCTTGTCTGTAGCAATAACATTGCTGTAAAACTCCTGATCCGCTCCACGGTGCCTAAGCTCTGGAACTGCATTTAGGAGTGCAAGCTTATGGCTTGCCTGAAAATCATGCGTTGCTAATGGCTGACCCTTTTGGTAGGGGCTGATAAATGAATGATTGGAAGCTGTAGACCACAGGCTGACTTTCCCACAGCTCACTGTGTATATAAGATCTGATAAGGAAGTTGAGACAAAGCTTAGCTTAAGGTCAACTGATCATTAATCAACTGTAACTGCACTTCTCAGGTAATCAGCCTGCAAAATGCTAGCCCACTCCACTCTTTGAAGACCCCACCTACAAAGAGCTGTAAAATGTTTGCTGAAGTAGATTAAACACAACTTTAAGTGCCACCTATGGACTACAAAGCATGTTGTGTCTTCGCTTCAGGGTTAACCCACTAAACTGATACTCTGCTGACTGTCAGTCCGTCAGCCCACCCTGTGAATAAGCTCTGTCCTGACCTACTGTGTCCCTGCTGGATCCATTATTGCTCTTTTGTGTTGCTAGAGCAGAACATGGAACATGTTTTACAGTTTTTATCTTGCAGGGAGCTGAGCTCTGATATCTTTCTCCTGCATGTCTCTGTCCTGGCAATGCAGGTTTGCACCGTGAGATATCAGATTTTAGCTTGTTTCAGAGTGGGCGGCTCAGCTGCTTGGTGAAGGGCTCACCTGGGACTAGGTGACCTGGCAGAAGTATCTGCACTTGAATTCACACTGAACTGCACTACTATGTGTGTGGTTGATGGGAGTAATTTTGGGACAACACTCCAAGGTAAAATCAAGTAAAGGTATCATTTAGATAAGCTCACGAGGGTCAGGCTGTTTCTTTACAATCATTTCCAGATGTACATTAAAGATGGTTCAACTTGGATGGAGGAAGGATCCACACTTAAATGTTCCCAAATGGGACCACAGCTTGATAGCCTTAATTGGCTTTTGATATGTCTGGCACAATGGAGACACATTTCAATGTGGCATCTCAGTTCCCTCCTGCTTTCCCTGTCCCTCTCCTCTGATGATTCTGTACTATAGAAACTATCTTTAAAAAGTCTTACCTCTGTTAAATTCACATGGAATGCCAGGTGACAAAAAGATAAATCATATATCAAACACTTCACATCAGTCCATGTCATCCATAAAATTGTAACCCACCCTGTCCTTCATTCTTTGTTCTGTACTGCCAAGTGAGGCATCACGCTGATGCTCTTTGAACATATAAAGTGTTTATGGTCAAGTATTTTGATATAGACCATTTTATTATCTAGAGGATTTTGTCTGGCAACGTTCCTAATCATATAACAACATAACCTTTAGTCGTAGCTTCATAATATGCTGGTCTTGCAGAAATGAATGAATAAGAAAGCAAAGCTGCCATTGTCTTAAAGCAGCCCCACTTACAAGGGAAAACAATCTGTGGATCTCCTACTCGTCACATGGAGAGTCTGTCTTTTGGCTGTTGCACTTGATGCTGGTGGAAGCAGGGGATTCTCAAAACCTTTGGGTTGAACTGTGCGAAGGAATGATTTGAACACAATTGTAGGTATGCCACAGACCTCGAAGATATTTGAGCAAGGACACAAAGGACTGGACAACTCTTTCCTACAGACCACTGCCTGAAAAATCCTGAAGATAAAGCAAAACCAGGAGGGAGGGCACACCTGTTAATTCTTCCAAACCATTTTATTGTGTTTGGGGGTTTAGGGAGTATAGTTTTGCTCCAGTTCTTTCCAGAAAAAATATTTCTTTTGTACTGGAAAGGGATGCACCGTGTGTATGCATCAATTCAGATCCTAGATTGTCAAATCAAGGTGAAGAGCTGCATGCTGGGACTTGTAGTCTGAGGGAGGCTGTCTCTGTAGGGGTGATGAAAATTTAGATGTGTCTTCATAAGTTTGTTTCTGTTTCCTTCAATATTTGTAGTTGCTCTGAAACACAGCAGAAATAGCACACAGCACTGGCATCCTGAATAAATGTGCATTTTGTCTCTTCTCTTAGAAGCCGTAAGGACAGTTTAGAAAGCGAGAGCTCAGCAGCCATCATTCCTCACGAGCTAATCCGCACAAGGCAGCTGGAGAGCGTACACCTGAAATTTAACCAGGAGTCCGGAGCGCTCATTCCCCTCTGTCTAAGGTGAGTGAAGCTGTCCTCCCCCTCAGCTTGTGCTAGCATGCTGCTTTTGCCTTGTGGCATTGTTTCACCCTACAGACATGCATGCAATGGGTCTGTAAAGGCCAGAGCTGACATATTTTGCCAAAACACATTGGAAACAGATGATTCTTTGCATGTGTGTTCATTATGGCAAGATTGTTTCTCATTCTTTTTATGTCCTCCAGTGTATTTTGAGTGCTGAAGCAGAACAGGGTTAGTATAGGAGGGGGTTTTATTAGTCTAATGCTAGCAACTGTGTGATAAAGAAGGGATGACTTAACATACTCTGTCAAAAAAATCCTTTAACTTGTTAATTCTGACTTATGGACTCAAATATTTAAGTGGTTGTGCGAAGCCTGTTTCCAGTCAGTTTATCCATACGAGTGTGTTTGTTAGACAAATTATGTCACATTAGTGAAGTAGCAAAACATTGCATGCATACTCTACATGTTGTCTTTTGAAGGTTCAGGCTGCCTTCTAGTTTTCCACAATTTCAGTCAGGAAATACCTGTGCAAGTGTTGTAGTCCTTAACGTGAACTGTGGGGTAGAGACAAACGATTGTAGGTGATTGAGTTACTTCAGCTTAATGAGTTACATGTTGGTAGTATCAGAGTTATCAGCAGCAGGTGCACACTTGCCTGTGCCTGTTGAGAAACCAATGGGATAGTTAATACAAACATATTTTATTTTACATCATAAATGTGTAAACAGCCTATCTTGATCAGTTACCACAGCTCAGCTGGCCAGCACTAACTCATCAACTGTGACTCTGTTAGGCACTAAATGTCTTACCTGAAGTTTTCCCTCTTGCATGTTAGCAGCCATGCATGCATGTCACACATGCTCTCAGCCTAAATACCAGAGCCATGATTTTCCCTTGCATTGAATGAAAAAAGCAGAAGGGATACTGTAGCTGGCCACGTATGTGTATTTTCTAGGCATGAGCTTAAGTAATACAGCTAACATTTGTCAAGCACCAGGGCAATTGATTACTAGGTATTGTCATAGTAGTTAAGTTTGCCTCCAGCAATGAGCCTTCTTAGAAATGCATCTTCGCATTCCCACATGATGTGGAGTCTGGATTCTCTTCTGCAGTTTTCATCTTACTGGCAGTTTCCTGCCCTTAGCTACGTAAGCACCTCATCATGGGGATAGGCATGCAGTGGGATTTAGATGTATTCTAGTTCTGTAACAAGGCCCTGAGATTAAGGAGAGAGATGAGGGGTAGCTCCCTGCCTCAGAAGGAGGCTTGTGACCTGCTTTTTGGAGAAAATCTTTCACATATTCCTGAAAAATTAACAGTTACTGCCTTCAAAATGGTTTCCCACGCTGATGGCAGAAACTATATAGTGATGTATCTTCATCGTTGTGTTGAATGCTGTGCACACCCTCTCAATTCATGCACATACGTTTAATTCTCCAGGGGAAGGCTCTTACATGGACGGCACTTTACGTATAAAAGTATTACAGGAGATACAGCAATCACGTTTGTATCAACAGGAGTAGAAGGAGCCTTTGCTACAGAGGAGCACCCCTATGCAGCACATGGACCTTGGTTACAAGTGAGAAAGCCTCCTTCCTGTTTCTCCCCCTTCCTCCTTTACTGTGTCCTAAAAATGATTCTGCTAAGGGCTTATGTGACTTAAAAGTGTAACAAACCTGTATTTTCTGCTGCAACATCTCTCATAGCACTTGCATAATAATTTTGGTAATTATGGACTCAAAAAATAATGGTGAAATGTTACTATTTGTATTAATGGAACTCATATTGATAAGCAGTGGCTGGAAAGTTCAAAAATCATCTGTGAATACAGTAGTGTCCATTTCCTGGAGTCCATGGCAAACACTTTACAGGCTGTATTTATTCTTGATTTCTTCCAGAAAGGAATTTGGGGAGGCAGAGTGGAATGACCTAAACAAGAATGGAGCCAAAGCGGAAGAGCTAGAAAGCTGTGGGACTGTGATCCTACAGAGCCAAAATCTCAGTTAAACATCATCCCAAATGGGAGAGCAGCACAGAGAGCACTGTTTCGTTCAGTTTTAGCTCTTTCCTGTTGATTCTTTGACAAAAGCTCGTGATGGCTTGAAGCACCCACACATTTTCTGCACCCAGATGTTTTCAGTATCTCAGATTTTCCATGGAAAATCCCCATCTGCTTGGTGTTGAGGGTCAGCCCTATGGAGCAGTGATACACTAATGATATGACAGCATAGCGCTATTCTACTCTTGAATTTCTTCATGGTTATAAACATATTGCAGAAATAAAAAAGCTTGGAGGAATGTGTTAATGCAGAAAAGCCCATCTCTGAGGAACTATGTGTGCAGTTGTCTCTGCCTTCGCTGTTACTGTGGCAGTCCTACCTCCCCTTCTGTTTTGAAGGCAGGGGTTTGTTTTAGCATTGCAATGTTGCAGTTTGCCTTCTAGTGACTTGTTTTTAAGGCTTTCCACAACCCATGTTCATATGTCTGGAGGACATCATACCTTGAAAGCTGTATGACTTGTAAAGGAGCTGATCTTGGCCAGAAGCATCTCGTGTGTAGGGATTTTCAAAGAGCCTGTGTGCTTTGATTGTACTGACTGGAAAGTGCAACTCTCCTGTAATGATTAACAGCAAAGGGTCAGGTTTAAGGGTGGGTCATTTGCTGTTGGTTCCTGTGCTTGCCAACACATGATACACAGGATCTTGTGACTGTGTTAACTCCAAACATGAGTGTTTGTTTGCATTTACATCACATCTCGAAATGTATTGATGTGTAGAGTAGTCAGGTAACCTGTAAACAGTGAAGAATGGCAATAATTATGTCACCATTCAGACATGTTAACCCTTATGAACCTGGTTGTTTTCATGCGTGTTACTTTGGTGCTGAAAACTGTGTAAGATTTTTGGCGAAGGTGGGATGGAAAGGTGAAGAATTGCTGGCTCAGATGGCAGGGAGAAACAAGTTTCCTCGCTTGTCTCCTACACAAGGTCAATGTATTAGATCTTCTTGTCTGGCAGGACCAGCTCTGCTCTTGGCCCCTGCCCCATCCTGTTGAGTATGAAGGAGGACAGGCTGGATGGGGGAGGAAGGGAGGCTGAAAGCAGCCTGGGACAACAGGAGTAGCACCCGGTTGTGAGATACATGTGGGAGTGTCTGAGGCTTTTGGCTTAGAACGCAATGGGAGGCTTGATCCATGCTCAGCAGTCCCTTGTGGTGTTGGGAGCAGGGGAGGGGGAGGTTCATGTGGCTTTGCTTCAGAAGCAAAAGAAGTTGTGGTACATGAAATTTCCAAGGAGGCAAGCTGAGTTTGGTTTAGTCCATTGCAGCCTGGGCTGGCTGAGTTGGCAAGCCCTGCTAAGCTTTCACAGCAAGGCCCAGAGAGGATTTTCCTCCTCCCTTGCTTGGGACCCCAGGCAAGTGAGGAGCTCCAAGGAGAGTTGGTGGCTGAAAGCAGATCACTGCAATGCAGGGGCTTGTTGCAAAGACAAGTAAATGAAGAAACTGTGGAGAAGAGGAGACATGGCAGGCTTTTTCTCCTGTGGACTTTTTCCCTATCCTAGGGGAGAAATAAGAGCCTGAAAAATCCTGACCTCGACTCAGCAGCAGCCAGAGGCTGACTTCTCTTGAGCCTGAGCTTTGGTGCAGTGAAAGCCCAAACCTGCAGACTAAACACAGTACCTCCTGTTTACATTTTGTGGGCTGGAGTGGAGTGTGTCCAAGGTGGGACAGGCTGGAGAGCTGCTGCACCCGGAGAACTGCTGCTCAGCCCCCACTGCCCAGGCTGAGCAATGAGCTGAGAGTCGCTGGGCTCCAGTGGAGGGTTAGCAGATGACAGGAGTTTGGCAGGTCCCAGCACCATTCCTACCAGACAGGTGTCCATATCACCACCACAGCTGGTATTCAATGGGAACTGCTTTAGCAATCTCAGCAGAAAAAGCAAGGAGTCATTCAACCACAGAGATTGTACGGCCCATTTGTATCAACAGTCTTTCCAGGTCACGTTTAAGGCATGTTAGTGGGGGAAGCCTGTCCTGCTGCTGCCCATGCTCCGGGGATGATTAGATTATTTCATTCTCCAGAACTGTCAAATTGGCACCTTTCCCAAGTACTTGGAATTTTTTTTTTCACTTAAGTAACATTTAATTAGTTCTAAGAAGCTAAATTCTATTAAAGGTCTAAGCATGTCAGGCTGGTTTATTTCTGAACTTCTTCCACTGTGTCATGTATTGTTGAATAGGGAAATTGCTTTAACTCAGAAATGTACAAACATATTCAAGAAGTCCTCCTTGTTAACACTAGACTCCTGTTTATATGCTAGTTACTGTGGCAAAGTCTCTGATGTGTAACACTTGCATTAACATTACACATGATCAAAGGCTTCAGCGGTTCTTTCTTCCACTCCCCCCAGTGATGTGACAGCAGAGCCCCCACACTGCCTCCTAAGCACCTCTCCTCTCCTTTCCAAGGGGTAGATGTTCCAGATGCACAGGCAAAGACTGTGCAGGAGATGTCTGGCCCCATGCTGGAGGGTTAAGGATGCGTATCATGCAGACAGACTCCGACATAAACTGCCCCACAGTGACATTCGTATTTGTGGTGGAGCGTCCAAGGTTCTTGGTCCAACGTCTGAGCTGTGCCAAGCGTGCAATTCATCACAGATTGACCTTGTTTGTCTCAAAAACATTCCCAAAGCAAGGTGAGGTTGTGCGTGTATTCTCCCTCCCTCCCTCCCTCCCTCCCTTACTTTTGTTCCAACAGATGATAGAGACGCTGTGTTGAAATGTGTTACTGATCAAGCCCGTCCCAATAAAGTTGCCTGAGCCTTTAATACATATTAATATTATCCTGGGGTAGTTTGTGTCAAAGCCTGTCAGCATGCATCATCCTTTGGGAATTACCATCATTAAGTCTCCAGTGATGGGAGTCAGGACATGCTTCTGCAAAGCTCCTCTGCTTTCATGTGGAGCTCTCTGCCTGTCTAGCACAAAGCATGCTGTTCTCTCCTCCTGCCTTGCTCACCTGGACTGCTTACTCTCCCCAGAGGGGAGAAGGAGGTTTGTTTAACACTACCTTTAGATAATTTCTGCTCCTGCTGCTTTAGGCACTCATTGTTCTAGGGAAGAAGATGACACTGAAGTCTTTGATCATGTGCAGCGTACATGTTACGCATCAGATATTGCTGCAGACTCTGACATACGAGCCAATACAGTGCAATAAAAACAAACCTATAGTTAAAGAGTCCTTGTTAACTTTAAAATCTAGCACACAGAATTTAAGAAATATCTCTGCACTTTAGCCTTGCCCCTGTTACACGTGTATTTCAATACAATATCTAATTGAAGGATTACAGCTATTTTTAACAAAGCGTGCCTGCCTCATTCAGTGCACAGAGATGCAGTGTGTTTGGGGGATGAATCAGGAATGTGGAGTAAAGTAGGCTGTTGCATATAGGAATTCCACTTCATTTGTTTGTCAAAATTGGAAGGTGTGTAGTGAATGAGGCAGCTAATTGCAGAAAAATCATGATAGTCTTACAGCAAAGCCTGTTAAATATTGCCCTGGAGAACTGGATCCTGTTTCTGCCTCTACTGCACTTTTCTTTCATGATGCTATTCCAGTGTCTTAAGCTAAAAACTTCTCACCCGGCAAGGGAGTTTGTGTTGCTCATTTTCTAGATGCCCAGCTCAAGACCTGAGGTCTGATCTGTGTTCCCAGTGACAGGAGGAGGCCAGGAGGAATTCCCCTGCAGATATCCTTGTGACCCATGGGATTGGGCTGGAAAACAGAGACCTACAAGTCTTGAGATGGGCACCCATGAGATGGTGGACCTTCAGATTCATTTTTCTCTTCACTGATTTTCCTATGTCTGTTCAGGGAGACCTCCTTCCAGTCATCCTGTGAAGGATGTAATGAATTCAGTGCTTGCCAGGCATTCCAGCTCCACAGATGAACACCAGAAACAATTTCAGGATAAGATTAAAATTTGTTCATGCAGGTCAGGATTAAGAACAAGTACAAAGGATCTCTCTGGGGTAGGGGGTCAGCCTGGGAGCCATGTCAAAGACCCACATTCAGCTTCCTGCTCTTACAGGTTTTCTCCGTGACTGTAAGTCTCTTACCTTCTTTTAGCCTCCATCCTCCATTTGCTGTGTGGAGAGCAACACTTCCCTGCCTCACAGAAATGTGAGGCCAAGCACATCAGAGACTTGTGAGAGTGATAAAGACAGTCAGATGAGGTACTTCCAGTGTTATCCATGCTGACAGTAGTTGGATGGAGCATATTAAATAAAAGGGAAGAGAGTAAGAGGGAATGGAGAAGCAAGTTGAATGATAATGAAAAGCAATGATGACTAATGCTGCATTAGTGGGCAGAACCATCCTGAGGACTGAGGAGGGCAGAGGTCTTGTGGAAGAAAAACTGCAGGTGATCCTGTGATTGCAGATTTATTTCATGAGGCGGATGTATGCTGGGGCCAAATTAGCATGGCACAAATTCTGTGCAGCAGTTTCCAAAGTTTTATACGCCCAATGTCACTGGTCTCTGAGTGCAGAGGGTTTTTTTCCAGGTAATTTACTTGA